AGGGAGAATTGTCTATAGTCTGCCAATTATATTTTAAATAAACGGTGATTGGCCAGTAGCCAGACAGGAAATAGAGGTGGGGCAATAAGAACAGGAGTTTTCTGGGAAGAAGGAAGCTCTTCCCAGAGTCCTGCCAAGACCACCAAAGAAGTAGAATATGACCTGCCCCGCTGAAAAAGGTACTGAGCCATGTGGCTAATATAGATAAGAATAATGGGTTAACATAAGCTACAAGAGCTAATAAGAAGCCTAAGCTAATGGGCCAATCAGTTTATTACCTTATGGAAACCTCTTTGTGATTTTCTCTGGGACTAAATGGCTGGGGACCAGGCTAGAAAGAAACCCCAATAAGCAGGCCCTCATGTTACACCATTCTTCAGATTCCAACTCGAAAGACTAAGAGACAGGTTTAAGGGTTCCTAGGTGCAGCTAGATATTGCTGCATCTGGATTCCAGAATTTGTGGAAATAGCAAGGCCTCTATATACCATCATAAAGGCACACTGAGTCCCTAATCTGGACTGAGAAAAAACAGAAGACATTTGAAGGTTTTCATAATTTGGCTCTAGCCTTAGAACCTTCAGATGCCTCAAAACCTTTTTATCTGTTTGTCCATAAAATACAAAAGGGGGTTTGGCCCAAACTTTGGGGCTATAGAAGCACCCTGTGTTATACCTTTCCAAACGATTGAACCCTACAGCCACACAATGGCCCACCTACTTAAGAACTGTAGTGGCTACTGATAGTTTAGTGGAAAAAACAAAACAAGTAGAATCTGGACTAGAATCTTATACTCCTAGCAGCTCATGGTGCAGTTGAGATCCTCTAAATAACACCAGAATGCTGTATGTTTCTCTAACGCCTGTGTCACCCAGTATTAGGCCCTACTCTTTGACCACCCTTAAGGCTGGCTTTAGTAACCCACTGCTTTCAATCCTGTTATTTTCATGTCTGGTGATGACCTGCAGGTGCTTATCCACAGCCATCACAGGATGAAAGATGAAGCCAGGTACGTGGAAGCTGTAGTAGTTACTTTACCTGTATGCTTTAGGCCTAAGCCAGGTTCGGCTCAGAAAAGCAGAACTGATTGATCTGACCCAGGTGATCGCAAGTGATTGATCTCAGACGGGAAAAAGAAAAGTTCACCAACGTTACATGTAGAGTCATTATGTTTTTCCCACAGTAGATGTCCATGGTGTGATTGATAGTGAAAAGGGGCCTCTGACCACTGGGGAAGAGGACATTAAAAAAAAATATTGGCCCTTCTAAAGTTCATCTGGCTTCCCCTACAAACTGCTACCTCCCCTACTCCCTCTGAGGACATCAAAACGATGGCAACCCTGAGGCAAGCTATAACTTGACCACTGTCCTGGCTTCCTCACAAATGGCCCTAAGACCAGTGGGGCCTATTGGTACTCTGAGAACATACCCTGACCTGATGTTGCAGAAATTCCTTAGTATATCCCAGAAGAAACAGAGGATACAAAAGGTAAAATTGTGTAAAATTGCTTGAATCCATAGGTTTATGGAGGACACCAGAGGGAAAGATCATTCTCGCAGAAACAGCGGTCAGGACTCTGGGAACTGACCTTCACCAAGATACTCATCTGGGATCCACAAAATTTCCTGCATTGCTCAGACCAAGGTATATTATACTTAGCCTCGACAGTCTAGTGCGGGATGTCTTAGCCAGATGCCAGGTTTGTGTTCAAGTAAGTCCAAAACAAAGAGTCCGTACCTACGAAGGTGTCTGAATGAGAGATCAAGACTCAAGAGATGAAACAAAATTAAGTTCACTAAGATCTGGCCTTCCAGGGGAGGATACAAGTACTTCCTAGTCTTATATGTACTTTTTCCAAGTGGTTAGAGGCATTCCCCACCTGGACTGAAACTGTTCAAATAGTAGCTTAGAAAGTTCTTCCAGGATGGGAGGAGATGGAAATTTTTAATGAATAAATTTTAAAAAAGATTTTAAAAAAAGTTCTTCCAGGAACTGCCCCCCCCCGATATGCACTACACCTAGCCATGGGGTCTGACAGTGGTCTGGATTTTATAGCCAAAACCTCAGTTAATAGCTAAAGCTTTAGGCAGAGAATGAAAACTGATTGTGTGTATTGACTACAGATTTATGGTCAACTAAAAAGAATAAACAGGGAGTCAAAAAAAACTCTAACAAATCTCTCATTAGAGTCCAGCAAAGGATGGATAGGCCTTCTCTTCCTTTGCTTTGATTTGGGCCACTGCAGCTCATATAGGAGAGATTTGCCCCCATGAGATAATGTTAGGAAGACCTCCTACACTGCTTCCTAGGCTCAGAGAGCAGCAGTTGGCAGAACTCTCTAACCACTCCTTCCTCAAGTCACTACAGGCCCTCCAGTCATCCATAAAGGCTATGCATTGACTACTCGAGAGACCTAGGCAAACTCAGATCCATCACCTGTTTCCCTGTGTTTCTGGTGAGACAGTCTGTGTCAAGCAGGTATCCAAAGAAGCACTTAAATCTATACATAGTGATTCTCTCCACTGCTATAGCTATGAAGGTAGCTGGTATTACACCAAGGGTCCACCACACCCCAGTCAAAATGTGGAAGCCACGGATGTCACTGTCAAATGGACTGCCTCCTGGACTATGGACCCACTAAAATTAAGGTTTCATCAGGCCACAGGCCTTTCCACTCCCTGCATCTCTAACTCTTCCTGAGTCTTATGTTTTGTCCTATGGGTATGAATATAGGGTCATGATCCAAATCCACCACCCACAGACGTGGACCTGAGAACTGAAGAAGACAGTTATAGGTAGGAGATAGCTAATGTGGCCACAGACCAGCAAACCATATTTCATCTTGACCATTTCTCACTAATACCCACTTCAAGTGTCTAGTTGTATTGGGGAGATATGTGGGAGTTTCTCTTTTGAGATACAGAGTTATAATTCTCTTCATGCTGGACAGCTGGACCCCTTTGTTGCCAGGAACAAGGGAGTTTCCATTGCAAAATTTGTCATCGTGAAAAGAGGATTCCTAAAATAATCCTTTAAAATGATTCTGGGTCTTTGGGAAACAGATATAACCTGAGGGGACCTGACTTTATGCCGCAGGAAGGGACATATGAATACATTTAAACTACTCCTCGAGGTCCTCAGGCCTTTGGGTTCTAACAAAGAACTCTCCATGCCAGGCCCAGGCCAACTTGCCCCTGCAAAGCAGTTAACACACCCAGAGCTACTGCCCAGAAAGACCACCCCCACTGTCCTAGTAGCTGAGTGATCCCATCCCTCTTTTCTACTCTTGACAATTTCTGCCTCTTAGTTATTCATTTCCAGCCAAAAATAGGCCTTGATTGCTGGTTATGCTTAAACACCTGTTCCCTGTACTACATAGATATAGGAACTGACCAGTCTGTCAGCCTATTGACCGAGAAAACTCACTGTGACTGGGGCACCCCAAATTAGCATTAGAGGACTTAATCTGGGTGCTTCCCCTTATCCTGATGCCTCCTATTCTGTCTTATGGGTTAATTCATCTGGATAACAATGATAGTACTGAGCCCCTGAGATTACTTGATGCTTGCATGCACTAATGGTTTGACTAAACATGCCTTTTCCGATACTTTCCAAACTAATAGACAGGTTGATTAGTACCTGCAGGTATTAAAAGTTTCCATTTCTGAATTAAAACAACAGATTCCCTTATAGAAATGGTCCTGCAAAGGGAAACTATGTATGACTTTGGGAGAAACTTGTTTCTATGTTACTTGATCAGGAGTAATTGGAGAAATTCTTGCCATGGTCGGGGAAAACTTCAAAAAGAAAGAGACAAAGACATAAATAATTGATACCAGTCTCTGCTCTCTTGGTCCCCCTGGCTAACTACTCTGCTATCAGCACCGGCTGGGCCTTTCATTCTCATTCTAATTAGATGAATTGTGGGCCCTGCATCTTAAACTATATGGCCAGTTATGTATCAGTTCAGCAAAATTAATGGTCCTTGGGTCTATCTACCTCTTTATAGCAAGGTAAGTCCATGACTTGACTCATTCATGAAGTCCATTGGGGAATGTAACAGGGCCCCAGAACGTAGTATGCCCCCAGACCTTAGCACAACTGACTCCATGGTGGAAGTGTATTCAAGCTGTGAAACTCAACAGGTTACAGCACTATTTACCAACACTATAACAAAGACCTAATCCAGCAATGTCCATTATTCTGAGAACATCTCTAAATGTACTAACCTTGCCTTTTGGCTTCTGTAATTCTTCTTCTAGCTAACTGTTCTCGTTAATTGAAGTATGCCAATTCAGGATACAGTCGTCGTGCTTAAAAGCTCACCCCGAGAAAGCCTTGGTGCTACTGGGATGCTGGCCACCCAGTGTACTTGCCGGGTGGCTAGCAAAGGCTTTCTATAGGTTTAAACTCTTGTCTGAGTAGTTTCCCCGTGGATACTCCACAACAGTAACTATCACATTTTCACTGTTCTCTCCAAGTAGATACTGGGGGAGGGTGTTGTCCAAAAGTTGTGCTTTACCACTTATCAGTATAATTAATTACTGGTGTTGTCTTTTCTGTTGGTTGAGACATTCATACTTGTGTATGATGCTTTGAACAAGGATGCCACCCCATTCTCTCCCTTCCAATTCATCTTCTATCCCCAATTACAATTCCCTCCCTACTTCATGTATTTTCCTCTTTAAAAACAAGTTAAAAACCCCAAGGATTCCATTTAGTGCTGCCAGTATGTACATGGGAGTAGGACCATCTCCTGCAACATCGGTAGCCCCTCAGGAGCCTCATCTTAGAAGAAAGCTGCCACCAGAAATGGACAAAAGCTTTGCAATAAGAGTACTATAAGAAAACATGACTTTTTAAGATCTGTTTTTCCTTGTTGAAAACCACCATGCAAAGTATTCGTTGATAATTTTATGAATTTTTAACTGTTATTCTTAACCTGATCATAGTTCTAGTACGTAACATTTTTTTTGTTGTTGTTCTTTATTTTATTAAACATGCGTGACAAACTGGACATGTCTGAAGTGAAAAGATTTGACAGATCAAAACTGAAGAAAACCATTACTGAAGGAAAAAATACACTCCCATCGAAGGAAAGTAAGTCATGACGATTTCTAGTTGAGAGTAACAGTGGTGAAAGTTGGCAGAATCAGTTAACAAACCGATGCTCTATTAAATTTTCCACAAAGTAAATGATAATAATTAGCATCCTATTATACTTAACAGTTTAAAATAACCAACAGCTGATTTTGTTATTGGGGATATGTAAGTGATCCTGCATTAATAGAAACCAGTAGCAATAATAGTAGTAATAGGCACCAGTAGTAAAAAGAAAACAAGTAATTTCTTGTTGAAAATTACAGAATTCACATTAAAATCAATCTTGAAATCTTTGACTAATCACTAGGGAAAACCCTATGTGTTCTTTTAATCACGTATTTTCCAATTTGAGTCTGAGATCTTGTCCCACTAACGAATTCTGCAGATGCTGCTTTTCTGATCTGTTCTGCTTAATGACAAATAAAATGGAATAAATTCAGATCTTGAGTATACTTGGTGCTCCCAGACTCAGGGGATCATTGTTACTCCTAGAGTTACATCTTACTGGAGAACTTCAAAAAGATTTTCACAAATGTTGTGCTATGCTTTTTGTTACACCAACATTGTTTGAGAGTTCCAAAACTAGATGAAACTGTTTTAAGGTTTCTTTGTTGTATTTTGATAGATGTATTGGAAGGAAATGCTTCATTTACCTTTTCGTCTCAAATAATGGCAACTGTATAAATCAAATGGAATGTGGAACCTATAGTTTAAGTAGATATTAAATCTTAATATTTATTTAATATTAAACTTTAATAGGTATTAAAATGGTTTATGTGTACTCTCATATCACCTTATGAGGCTCTGTGTGTGGTACCCTGGTATTCTGAATTTAAAGCATTATGATAACCATTTAAAGAATTAACACAGTCTGACAACAAGGAACTCTAGGAAGAAACTAAACATATTAGAAAAAGTCTCTCCTAACAATATTTTGATGTTTCTTTTTTCCCTAGCTATTCAGCAGGAGAAAGATGATATTAAAAGATCATAAAATGAAGACATCCTTTCAAGATCAACTCCAACTTTGCCAGATAGTAATGGTTTTAAGATTGTAGAGATTTTAGGCAGTGACTGATGGAGTCTCACCTCTACTGCCTTGGATGAAAGTCACCATTTGCCAATGATTATTAAATTTGGTTGTAATCTGCCCACTAGTGTGTAAATGTGGTTTTTCACTAGCTAAAAGACAAGCCGATTCTAACCTAGAGTGGGGCCCTCAAATGTTTCATCATCTTTGTGAAGTTGTACTCACAACTATTTGCAGCTCCTTGAGTTTATCTTCATTTCTAATGTAACAAATTTAACCACAAACTTCCTATGGTACATTCTTGGTATTCTAAAACATGGAATTACACAAGGGTACTTTTTCAATCAAAAATAAATGAAGGAGCTGGGCGGTTGTGGTGCACGCCTTTAATCCCAGCACTCGGGGAGGCAGAGGCAGGCGGATCTCTGTGAGTTCAAGGCCAGCCTGGTCTACAAGAGCTAGTTCCAGGACAGGAACCAAAAGCTACGGAGAAACCCTGCCTCGAAAAATCAAAAATAAATAAATAAATAAAATAAATGAAGGAAAACCTCTTGAGCAGATTACACATATGTGAAGTTTAAGGTGGTAATGAGAACTAATGCCCTTATTTGGGAATGAAGAAATGGAACCATAGAACCTAAAAGGATCTGTATAGGATGTGAAAAGATAGCGTTGCTTTCTTGAAAATGTTTTTTTCACCTTAATGGAAACACCCAAACCTGGAGTTGGAAAGGGAGGTGGCAGGAAACACTTGCTAAAGCACATCATATTAAAGACAACAGGGTGTTCTATTGAATGTACAATGAGATATTTAATATCTGCTGATGACTTGTATTACTTATTCTCTGTTCTAGTCCTTGCATTTAATAGGGTTTACTTTCTTGCAAACTGAGCATTTTGATCCTCAGTGGCATAAGTGCTACTGACTTAAATGTGTTCTCCCAGTTTGTACGCATATATCTCAGCTCCCAATATACTTATACATGGTGGTAGGATCTTTTAAGGGTAGTTAAAGTTAAATAAGGTTCTAAAAGTGAAGCCTTATAAAAAGAGGAAGTGGGGAAAGAAGGCAGGACACATACACACACACATACAGAGAGAGAGAGAGAGAGAGAGAGAGAGAGAGAGAGATCTTCGAAGGATGCTGAGTCTAAAGGTGTTTATACAACTGAAATGCACGTGTTCTGCATTCATTCCTGCTGGACCTTGGTCTGGACTTGCATCATCTAGACCTGTGAGGCTTTACATTTCAGTTATCTAGACCACCTAGTCTGCAGTGATTTTTAGAGCAGCTTGAACTGACTACTATACCTAGAAAAACACATATACAACCATGCCTCAATCCTTACCTTTAATACCTTTACTGCTTTAAATGTATAAAGCTAACCACCTAAATATTACCGAGTACAGATGTCCGCCACTCTGGATAACTAGCAAGGCTGTTATACTAATTTGCATATCTTCTTTTTAAAAGTTTCCTATTTGTGCAGATGAGGGAGGGGGACTTGATCGGGGGAGGGGGAGGGAAATGGGAAACGGTTGCGGGGACGAGGCAGAAATCCTTAATAAATAAATACATTTAAAAAATAAAAAAAAGAACTAGAAAAAAAAAGGTCAACTCATAAAATATGTGCAAAAAATTCCAAATTAAAATAAAAAATATTCATAAAAATATTCTTTCTTTAAAAACAATAAAAAATAAATAAAAGTTTCCTATTTGTAACCTAACATGTTAATCTGCTTTATCCTTTCGAGGGGCTTATATCACTAAATAACGATTGCGGTCACAAGAACTAGAAGTGATTTTGTGTGTTATCATAAAATTCCCCAACTGAAAGACTAAGAGGGTGGACTAGGACCAAGTACAAATGTGGTTATACAATCACAGTAGCCAGAGTGTACTGGGACTGGAGGATGTGGACCTTAGAAGTAACCATATTGGTCACCCAAAATCCTAGCCTGCAACAGTATTCCACAGAGTCACTTGATCCTTTGCAGTGACAAGCTTGTACAGTACCCAAACCTGGTTCCCTATGGCATCTATATAATAGTTATGGCGCTATTCACTGGAAACTCACATAGTATAATCAATTTGAAGTGAGATGTTAAGTTTGTACCCATATTCAAAGTCTTCTCAGATCCTTTGACCCAAGTTCCTCAGTTGGGAAGCCATCCTGATTCAAGACAGGGCATCTTCTCTGTAGCTTTGGATCTTCTCGTGGAACTAGCTCTTGTAGACCAGGTTGGCCTCGAACTCACAAAGATCCACCTGCCTCTGCCTCCTGAGTGCTGGGATTAAAGACATGTGCCAACCACCGCCTGGCCACAGTGTTAGGCTACCAACAAAAGGGAGACCTGCCTGCTGCCAGTAAACAGACTGTGTGTTAGGGCTGTATAGCTGTTATTTGCAAAACTGACAGCAATAAGACTTCTTGAAGCCTGAAGCCGTTAGGAGCAAGGAATGTGTGAAATTTTCATCTCATGCAGATTCATATCATTTGAAAATTAGGAATCAGTGTTTCTTTTGTTTGTTCGTGTGTTGTTGTTGTTTGAGACAGGGTTCCTCTGTTTACCAGCCCTAGCTGTCCTGGAACTAGCTCTTGTAGACCTGGCTGGCCTCGAACTCACAAAGATCCACTTGCCTCTGCTGGGATTAAAGGCATGCATCACTATTACCTAGCTAGGGATCAGTGTTTTTATACCTTTATTTTGTCAGTGCACATGGGTGACTATTTAAAATATAATAAAAGAGTTAAAATTAGAAAATTAGATATTAATCAAAAGAACAGCCCCCAACCACACCAAAACTTATACTCACTGTACCTTTGGAAGTGTCAAAAATATTACTTAAGAGCCTCAGGCATAATCTCAAGTGTCTTTGCAAAAGGAATAGAGGAAACTCACATAATGCTCCAAAGTGCAAAGTGATTTTTACTAACACCCTAGAATGAGAAGAACACATATTCAAAACTTGGTGTCATAGGGTAAATACGTTTGAATTTAGCCTTGTAAAATTCCTGACATAAAAAACTTAAATGAGGGAAGATTTATTTTGGATCACAGTCTTGGGGGTTTCAGTCACTCATGACCAGAAGAATATGGCAGAGGTGCTGGGCCTCTTTGGTTTTTCCTTTATTCCTTTTATTCTGTTAGGAATTTTTTCCTAACACAAGCTCTCTGCTGACACAAAATCCCAATCAAGCCAAATCAAAATATGCCAAATTTAAAAATATCCAGGTTTAATGGGATTCCTGTGCTCTTGGGTGGCCCCGAGGGCCACGAACATGACTACCAGGAGGAAGGAAAAGATACCAAGTGATTCTTCTTTGGAAGCTATCTTAAATACCCTGTGGGAGTGGTCAGGACCTGGCATTCTGGGATTTGGAGTCCAGACCAATACAATTCTCAGGCCTGAGGGCTGGGGCCTAGGCTCTCGACTTAACAATTCTGTCTTAGCTTTCAGCACATGAGATGTTACACCTGCATTCATTTTCTTTCCCCTCATTTCACCATACCTTGAAACATTATCACAGATTCATCAAAAGGATGCTTCTCTATATCCTAGATGATTTTAAATCTAGTCAATCTGACAATTAATAGCAGTATTACCCTTCATATGCAGTTTCTTCATTTATCTTCCATTAAACAAATATCTGAGAGCTACTCTTCAGTTTCCTACATGATTTGGCTAACAGTGGAAATATGGGGTGATAAGTTGGAATATGTTTTCTAGTTTTTTTTTAAAGGATGCTATAAGAAATACTCAAAGGGGTAGTGGAGTGGATATGATCAAAGTGCTTCATGTGTATATACATGAATATTATATATATTAAAACTGTCATAATGGAAGCTATGGTTTTGCCATTTGTGGTGGTTCATACCTATAATCTCAGTACTTGGGAGGTGGACACCAAAGGAGCAGAAATTAACTCAAGACTGGCTAGAGCAACATGAGATCCTCTCTCAATGAACAACAGCACCATTCTGCACTAACTTGTAGAATTAATATGCAATATTTTAAAAAGTTATACTCAGTCACAACATATAGTATTTAGACACATTGGGTAATCTGTCTAACGAAAATATCCAAGAATATGTATAATAATTTTAAAAGACTTTTGTTCCTTTTTTTGAATTTTTTAATTCATTTATACACCAACCACAAAGCCTGGCACATCAAGATGAAGCAGGACTAGGCCTCTCACCCCTCCATCAAGGCTGAGTAAGGTATCCCACCACAGGGAATGGGCTACAAAAGCCAGCTCAAGCACCAGGGATAGATACTGGTCCCACTGACAGGGGACCCACAAATAGACCAAGCCACACAATTGCTACCCTCATGCAGAGGGCCTAGTTCAGTCCCAAGCCGGCTTTCCAGCTGTTGATCCAGAGTCCATGAGTTCCCACAAGCTCAGGTCAGTTGTCTCTGTGGGTTTCCCTGTGATAATCTTGATTCCCCCCCAACCCTCTCCAGCACATTGATCACATTCACCCCTTTAACTCCTCCAAAATCTGCCCTACCTCCTCTTCCCCCCAAATCTGTGCCACTTTAAAATTTATTTGTTTGATTGTTTATTGTTTTTTTTTTCTTTTTTTTTTTGGAACAGAGTTTTTCTGTGTAATAGCTCTATCTCTCCTACAACTAGCTCTTAAAGACCAGGCCTTGAGGCCGGGCGATGGTGGTGCACGCCTTTAATCCCAGCACTGGGGAGGCAGAGGCAGGCGGATCTCTGTGAGTTTGAGACCAACCTGGTCTACAAGAGCTAGTTCCAGGACAGGCTCCAAAGCCACAAAGAAACCCTGTTTCGAAAAACAAAAACAAAAAAGACAAGGCCTTGAACTCACAGAGATCTGCCTGTCTCTGCCTCCTGAGTGCTGGGATTAAAGGCATATCCCACCACCATCCGGCACTTTGTTTTTCATTAATAGCCTATTGAATCCAATTTGTGCTGCCCATAGTCTCC